AAGTTTCTTAAAATTTCATGGCTAATAGTGAGACAGGAGGGAAGGGAGTAGGGCACAACCTTTAAAATAATGACACAGTCTTGGGAATTCCCTGGCAGTCCAGTGGTTAGGACTCGGCGCTTTCACTGCTGTGGCCCAGGTTCAATCCCTGTTCAGGGAACTAAGATCCTGCAAGCCACAAGATGCGGCCAAACAGATCAAACAAACAGAAAGTAATGACACAGCCTCTGAGGAAAACTGAATACAACAAAAACTGGTTAGCACCAACTAGGCCCAAGATGGCAGAAGGTTTGACTTCCAGGAGACCTTGAGCCTCATTATATGCTCATTGTAATACATCAGCATGCTAAATGACACACCCACAGGTGCCATGACAGTTCCAAGGCTGAGCATAAAAGGGCGGAAAAGTGGGCGGTGGCCCAATTCCTGGAAATCTCTGCCCCTTCTCCAAAATGGTTGGAATAACCCTCCCACTCATTAGCCTATGGAATTACCCAGCCCATAAAAACCACCCCATAGGGCTTCCCTGGTGGTGCAGTGGTTGAGAGTCCGCCTGCCAATGCAGGGGATCCGCAATGGGAGAGGCCACAGCACTGAGAGGCCCGTGCAAAAAAAAAAAAAGAAAGAAAAGAAACCACCCCATATTTCAGAGCTGCTCTCACCTTTTGAGACAGACCGCATTCTACCTATGGAATGCATATCACTCTAAATAAACCTGCTTTCACTTACTATGGCTCACTCTTGAATTCTTTCCTGCATGAAGCCAAGGACTGTCCCAGGAACTCACCGAGACCTGGGACACGACCACCCTCTTGTGCCTCATTTTCCTGCAGCATCTTTACAAAGGAAGAGGAAGAAGGTGGTCTCTCCATTCCCACTTTTCCTTTGATTATAAAAATGTAGCCCACTTAGTTCTTGGGGCAGAGCCCTCTTGCCTTCCCACTTGTATCCTTCACAAGCATCCTGTATTAATAAATCTACTTCTTACCAATCACTTTGCCTCTCGCTGAATTCCTTCTGCATCAAGACATAAGGAACCTTAGCTTCATTAAGTCCCAAGATGAGCTGTGCAGTCTCAGTTGGAAGTTGTGGGTTCGAGTCCCATCTGAGGTGCAGTTCCAGTATTAATTAATAGTGAAAAGACTGCTTTCCTTCAAGAATAGCAACAAAACAAAGATGCCTACTCTACTTATTTCTATCCAACATTGTACCTCAACAGTCTCAACCAGTGAAATAAGAAACAAAACGAAAAAGACATAAACATTAGAAAGGAACAAAGTAAACCTTCTCTGTTCACAAACAACATGACTGCCTACCTGGCAATCTACAAAATGAATCCACAACAGAAAAGTCTACTGGATCTAATAAGTGAATTTATTAGCAAGGTCACAGAATACAAGCTCAAAACAGAAATGTTTCTATATGCAAGGAACAAAAATTGGAAATAGGAATATTTTAAAAAGGAATACCATTTAAATTAGCATCAACAAACATGGAATCCATGGTACAAATCTAACAAAGTATGTGTAAGATCTGTATGCTGAAAACTACAAATAATTGATGAGTGAAATCAAAGATGATTTTCACAAATGGAGAGATTATATCGTGTCCATAGATTGAAACACTCAACACTACGCTGTCAAATCTCCCCAAATTTTCTTAGATTCAACACGTATCAAAATCACAGCAGGATTTTTGTAGAAACTGACAAACTAATTCTGAAGTGTATATGTAAAGGCAAAAGATCTAGAAAGGCCAGGAAGATTTTTGAGAAAAGAACAAAGTTGGAGGATTCATATTACCTGAATTCAAGACTGTATAAAACTACAGTAATCAAGATAAGGTGGTACTGGCAATAAGGACAGAAATGTAGATCAGTGAAACAGAACAGAGGGTCCAGAAATAGATCAACATAAATGATTTTCAACAACTGATTTTCAACAAAGGTAATTCAATGGAGAAATAACAGTCTCTACAACAAAGAATACAGGAACAAATGTTCATCCACCTACAAAACAATGAATCTTGCTCTTTATATAAAAGTTAATTCAAAAAAAAAGTTAATTCAAAATGGATCATAGACATAAATGTAAAACTAAAACTTAAAGCTATAAAACTTCTAGAAGAACTTTATAAAAGAAAATCTTTGTAACCTTGGGTTAGGCAGAGACGTCTTAGATCTAAGAAACAAAAAGTATGACACTTAAAAAAAAAATGAAAAGACAAGCCACAGATTAGCAGAAAATATTTGGAAAATATATATCTCATAAAGGACTAACTCATACAGAACACCTAAAGAAATTTTACAACTCACAATAATGAGAAATCAATCAAGCAAATAAAAAATAGGCAAAAGATCTGAATGAACATTTCACAAAAAAAGAAGGTAGGGGGATTGATGGCAAATAAACATATTTTTTAAATGCACAACATCATTTCATCATTAGGAAAATTAAAATTAAAATCAGTATGAGATACCACTTTATCAGAATAGTGAAAATTAAAAAGACTGACAATAATAAGCCCTTACAAAGATAAGGAACTATCATACATTGCTGATGGGAAGGCAGAATGACAGTCACTCTGAAAAAAGAGTTTCACAGTTTCTTATAAATTTCAACATAGCACTTACCATTAGAACCAGAAATTCCAATACTGGGTATTTATTCAAGAGAAATGACAACTTACATCAACACAAAGACCTATATTTAAATACTCACAGCAGCATTATTCATTGTAGTGATGGTTACTTACTTCATACATTTGTCAAACTCATTGAACTGTATACATTAAAAGGGAAATTTTATTGTATGTAAATTATACCTCAAAAAAACCTAACTTGTAAAAAAATTTCTTTCGAAAGTCATCCATTCCCTGACTCTATCCAGGTTTGTCTACATACCTCTTAAACATACTCCCATAGCTCTCTTTGCAGCTATTCATCGATCCTCAGTTTACCGGGTCTAAGAACCTTATCTGACTCATCTCTGGATCCTTAACACAAAGAACGATGCCTGCTAGAAAGCAGATGACCAATCAATGAACCTCAGTGATTCTGGCTATTAACCTAACACATCTCAGCCTTGCTTTCCTCTAAAAATTTGTAATTCTATTATATCTGATTTTCTAGTAGCCTGTTACTTGTTATACCTATTTCATAAGTGACTTTCTACAAGGATATTAAGTGTCTAGTTGGCTTAGAAAAATGTTTTCTCTTTCTCTTGTTCTCTGCGATACCAACATAACCAACTTTGTAAGAAGACACCTGAATGCTAACTCTCTGAAACTAGGGTAAGTTAGACATAAGCACAGCTGGGTAATTTAAGAAGACAACCACCTAAGGAATGTGTGAACTGAAAAGCATGATGAAGGCCATCTTCTCTGGCCAAAAAAAAACCCCTCCCCTACAAGCCTATAGCCCTGCAACTCTAATGTTAAGAAGCCCCACCCCCACACAACGTAAACAAGTGCTTAATATCATAATCTATACACAGAGAGCCAACTCTGGCATGTAGCAAGACAGAAAGAGTACGTGCCTCAGGGCAGGGCTGGTTAGCCAGGCTAAAGGCAACAAGCATTTGGTACTAAAAGAGAGGAGAAAGACCCTAAGCCACAAGTCATTACTTCATGAGTTTTAATTAAGACCAGCGCTAAAACAAAAGAAAAAAAATAAAAATAAAACAGAATTTGTAGCAGGTTAGAATTTAGTTAAGCAAAATATTCATTGCATGCATTGTCCTGGTCACTATAAAAGAACACAAAATAAAGTACAGTATGCAAAATAAGGGAAGAACTGTTTTGCTTTTTTTTAATCTGAAAAAGAAAAATGTAGAATTGTTTCTCTAAAAGAAACATACCAGAAAGTATATACTGAATAAATAGTAAAAAATATGAAGGATGTTTGTAAATATAACTAACATTTTAGGGTCACCTTTATCAGTAGTCCTACAGGTATCACAAAATAGAAATGGCATTTTTTCCAATGTGGGCTGAGTGGTTACCAAGGACTACATGTATATTACCAGTGTGGTACAGCAGAAAGAGAATGAATTTTTAAGTCAGGCCTAATTTAAATCCCAGCTCCACCTAGCAGTGTGATCTTGACAGTTTCTTAAATTCTCTGAGGCACGATTTTCCCATCAGGAAACTATGGGCAATAATATCAACTTTCACAAGGTCACTATAAACATTAACTATAATTACTTATGTCTGGGAATGGCAAACAGGTTTCATTTCAGATGCAATTCTGATATATTTCTAGTTGCATCCTGGAACACTGGTGTTAGAAAGGATTATGGAGCTACTTCTGAGCTCAGCTAGAAGAGTGCTATGATGAGTTAGCTACATCACTCATGGGGAATGGGTAGCAGTATATGAGCCAGGCATTTGTCATCCCTGTGCTCAATGAACAGAAACTCTTCTTATTCTTGGAGTAACCCCACTCTACTGGTCATAAGAGAGGTGCTTATTTTCAACTGAATTTTCAGATTCTAGGGGAAACATCCAATAAGACAGAACAAGCAGAGTGCTATGAGAAAACATATTCTTTTCTACCTGCCCCCCCCAAAAATCTCCTCTTAAATTATCAGCTTAAGGCAGTTCTTCATAAATTTTTTTTTTTTTTTTTTTTTGCAGTACACGGGCCTCTCACTGTTGTGGCCTCTCCCATTGCGGAGCACAGGCTCCGGAAGCGCAGGCTCAGCAGCCATGGCTCACGGGCCCAGCCGCTCCGTGGCATATGGTATCCTCCCAGACCGGGGCACGAACCCGCGTCCCCCGCATCGGCAGGCAGACTCTCAACCACTGCGCCACCAGGGAAGCCCCTTCATAAATTTTTTCAGTCATTTTTTAAACCTGGCAATGACTCAAATTTCTGTAAGTGAACAATCATAAAGGGTCTCTCTTTATAATAGGAAATGTAGAATCAGAAGATTCAACAGAAAAAGCTAGACTGTTTATTTAGAGAAGACAACTACTTGAAACTGCAGTCTAAAAATTACCTGCTGACCCAAATATTTCAGCCCATCCAAACAGACTTTCCATTCAATCAACAGCTGGTAGATGTCCTCCTTTCCACCCCAAATCTGCACCACGAAACAAGACACAGATGTATCGAGACGGTCCGGCATTATTCCAAAATCAAGACTCCGCCATGTTGGATTCTGTTGATGGAAATGAAAACATGCTTTAGGAAGACCCTAAATGTTTACGGTTTACAGTTATTTCAGTTAGGTTGTACATCATTTTGTTCTTTAACCAAAAGAACTCATAAATATACTAAATTGCAAACTTAAGTGAAGAAGACATTCCAATTAACATAAAGAGGGTGATATCGGTACTTTTTAATTTCTCTGCTTATTTATTATAGTCAATAGAAGGAGCATATATTCTAATCTCTCATTAACATGGCTTCCTATGGTAATTCATTTATTTATTCAACACAATACACAATTATTAAGAAGCAACTTATACACAATGCCCTCAAAGTACCTCCAACTTGTTGCTGGATTCAAACCTCTCTTTAAATAATTACATTGTTTCATGAAAAGTGCAATATGCAAAAGGTTACAAAGTAGCACAGGAGGGATAATAAACTTGGAAGGAACAGGGAAAAGACAGCACACAGGCTATGAAACTTGGCTTTTATAGGACAAACAGTAGTTCACCAGATTAAAATAAGGAATTGCAGGCAAAGGGGAAATAATAAGGGCTCAGAGGTGTGAAATAGCACAGTGTGGTCAGGGAACTAAGACAACTGCTGGAGCGCACAACACAGGAGCGGCAGGATGCAGAGCTGGAGAGACCAACACGAGACTCCTCGCCAAGGAGGTGGTACTTTACTCTGTACAAGACGTGGGGCCACTGAAAGGTTTTAAGGTTAAGAATGGCATGGTCAACTTTATGCTCTGAAAGAACTTTGTTTTTCATAGAGGATTATCCAGATAAGTTGAAATATTCTCTGAAAAGTGAAAAAGTTAAGGGGCTTTAATATTATCAATAGACATGAACTACAATGCATCGATTACTTACTTTCATTTATTTCCCTTACATTAAATGTTAGGGCTTTCATTGCTGAATGTAACTACAATCAATCTCATTAAATTATCAATTTTCATATTACACAAATCAGTAAATCAAAAGGTCCTCATATAAGGGTAACTAGTCTTTGCTTTGTGGCAGTTTTTCTTCCTGACCAAAATGGGGACAGACTAAGGCAGTGTTTTTGTTTTAGGGGATATATTGATGTATGTGTTTTTCTGGGTTTGGCTGCTGACATTTCAGGAGTGGGAACATGACTTCCAGTTCCATGGCACTTAACATCTGATCTATCTTTTTCACTTGTATGTACTTCACTTGTATATTTTTATTGTCTGATATCCTTGCATTAAAATAAAAGCTGTGATAGAAACATTGCCTGATTTGTTTACCACAAGATCCCCAAAGTTTGAAAAGTACCTGCTATGTGCTCAATAAATATTTGCTGCTGGTGGCGCAGTGGTTAAGAATCTGCCTGCTAATGCAGGGGACACGGGCTCAAGCCCTGGTCCGGGAAGATCCCACATGCCAGAGCAACTAAGCCCGTGCGCCACAACTACTGAGCCTGTGCTCTAGAGGCCATGAGCCACAACTACTGAGCCCACATGCCGCAACTACTGAAGCCTGCGCGCATAGAGCCCATGCTCCACAACAAGAGAAGCCACCACAATGAGAAGCCTGCGCACCACAACAAAGAGCAGCCCCTGCTCGCCACAACTAGAGAAAGCCTGCGCGCAGCGACAAAGACCCAACACGGCCATAAATTAATTAATTAATTAAAAAATATATATTTGCTGAATGAGTGAATGAATGTCCAATTAACCAAAATGGATGTTTGAGGACACCAAAAGATTATCAATAAATAGCATGATAATAACACAATAAACACATTGTGCAATCAGCTTTATTCTGATTCCACACCATCCAAGAATTTCAACCTAAGATCAACAGAACTCCATTCTTACATGACCCCCAGTCTCTATCCCACCATAATTGTTTTAGCAACCCTTCTAGATAGGGGTAGAGTTTCATTTAAAAATGAAGATAAACATTAAGGTCTAGGAATAACCAGGAAGACCTGTACTACAAGAAATGCTAAAGGAAGTTCTTCAGGCTGAAGAGAAATGACACCAGATAGAAACCTGGATCTTTAAGAAGGAATAAAAAGCACTGGCAATGGTAAACACGGAGTAAATATAAAAGACCATGTATTTTTCTTATTTTATTTATATCATATATGTCTGTTTAAAGCAAAACCTATAACTGTATAAAGGGTTTTATAACATATGTATAGGTTCACAAATATGAAAGTAACAGCACAAATGAGACAAGGTGGCCAACTGGAACTACACTGTTGCCAGGTTCTCCTGTTTTACCTGAAGTAGTTAAGAGTATATATAGTAACCCCTGAAGCAATGATTAAAAAATCAGTGCAAAGAAGTACAGCTGAAAAGGCAAGGCAAGAATGTAAAACAGAATATGAAAAAAAAATACATACTGCATGATGATTCCATTTATATGAGGTTCTACAAGAGGCAAAACAAATCTGTGGTGAAAAATGATTTCCTTTTGTGGGGGGAGGGCTTGGGCACAAGGGAACTTTCTGGAATGATAGGAAATGTACATATCTTGACAGGTATGTATGCACTTATCAAAGCTCAGCAAACTACATAGTTAAAATCTTTGCATTTCATTGTATATGGCTTTTACTTCAGGGAAAAAAAACTGTAAACACTGAACTCTAATGTATAGGTCTGCTTCTTATAGTGGTAAGGATTAGCATTTCTAAAGCCACTTTCTGTGTATTCTAAGCCTGAGTAAAGATGTTGAGGACAGTGGAAGGCAGGTTTTTCACTGTCAGAGAATGGAGTTACAAATGAACTGAGTTCAGCTGGATTGAAAATGGAGATGTTGGTATGAATGCATGGTTTTTAAAAGATAGATCGATACACAGATAGAGCAATAGATATAAGGGGTGTGTGTGCGTGTGTGTGTGTGTGTGTGTGTGTGTGTATTTCCTAGCTCAGTCCCTTAAAAAGTCTAGAAGTAATGAGCACACTAGTAACAATGAGCATGCTCAGATCTTGCTGTCTATTTAGCATTCTCACTAAAAGGAACCAAGGGTTCCTTCGGGAGAAAACTGATTCCAGGGCAGGAAGAGTACAAAATGAGTCTGGAACATCTCATGCCAGAATGTAAGTAAGTACTCAAAGAATGATGTGGGCATATCAAAAGGAAAGAGGAATCAATTCACAGGGCTTTCACTAACCCAATGTGGGGTAATTTAAGCAACAAAATAAATAATGACAGTAATGGATTATAACCCATTGAATAAAAATAAGAATCTTTGAATTCATAATGATATAGATTAATAATTAATTAATAATTAATTAAATGGGAAATAAAGACAGAATGCCAATTAATAAATATAAAAGTCTGAAAGATGGGAATGAGAAAATTGCCAATGGATGCTAAAACTGGTAAACAAACAGTTGATAAGAAGCAGGATATATGAAGTCTCAAAGTTTCTTCCTAACAAATCACTTATTAATTATAAATGGAAAAATTATAACTTCACAGTGGAGAAACCTGACAGGCACTACCTTAATCAACTGACAAAAGTTAACATCAATATTGGGACAAACGAACAACAGGTGCCTTCTAAACCAAAGCACTGAAAAGAATACAGTATTACAGCTATAGTTTTCCTGCCGAAAATGCATACCTGAATCTAATCACGAGGAAACATCAATCAAATTGAAAGACAGTCTATGAAATAACTGGTCTGTATGGTTTTAAGTGCTGAAGTCAAAAACACCCCCAAAAAGGCTAAAGAACCATCCAGACTGAAGAAGAAAGCAACATGACAAATAAAGACAGAGTGATTCTGAATTGAGTCCTGGAGAGTTGACAATATCTGAATAAGGACTAGGAATTCATTGGTGGAAAGGTAAATTGGTACAACCAGTTGGAAAACAGTATGGAGGTAACTCAAAAAAATTTAAAATAGAACTACCATATGATCTAGTTAACCCTCTTCTGGGTAGATATCCAAAGGAAATGAAACAGTGTCTTAGAGATAGAAGCACTCCCATGTTCACCACAGCATTATTCATAACAGTCAAGATATAGGTACAACCTAAGTGTCCATCAACAGATGACTGAATAAAGAAAATGTAGCATATATATGTATGGAATATTATTCAGCCTTAAAAAAGGAAATCCTGCCATTTGCAACAGCATGGATGAACCTGAAGCATAGTATGATAAGTGAAGTAAGTCAGAAAAAGAAAGTCAAATACTGCATAATATCACTTATATGTGGAATCTTTTAAAGAAGTCAAACTCATAGAAACAGGGTGTGTAATGGTGGTTGCCAGGGGTTGAAGTTGGGAGAAACAGGGAGGTGTTGGCCAAAACGTACAAAGTTGCAGTTTTGCTAAATGAAATCATTCTGGAAATCTAATGACAACATGGTGACTATAGTTAATAATACCGCATTGTATACTTGAAATTTCCTAAGAGAGTAATGTGTTCTCATTACCAAAAAAAACAAAAAACAAAAAACAGTAACTACATGAGGTGATAGGTATGTTAATTAGCTTAATTTTGGTTAATCATTTTACAGTATATACGTATACCACAACATCACATTGTACACCTTAATATATACAATTTTTGTCAACTATACCTCAATTACGCTGGGGGTGGAGGATGAAGGACTGTGGTTAATAACTGTATTGTGTCAATGTTACACTTTCCTGATTTTAATCATTTTAATATGATTATGTAAGAGACTGTCCTTGTTTGTAGGAAATACACACTGAAATATTTGATAATAGCAAATCTTTCTTTGAAGGTAGTCTTAGTTATTTTAAGAAGCCAAAGTTATTCTTAGAAAAATTTATTGAAAAATACAGGCAATAAGAAAAGATAATATTTTGGGTAAAACATGATGGGTAACTATGAAACAGCAAGACTAGATTTAACACATGGCCCAAGGAATGAATGGAAGGGAACCACCCATTTCTGATAATGGCAGGCTAGACAATCATCCCACTGAAAACAATTAAAAATGCTGGCTAAAATATTTTTAAAATAATAATAACCACCATCATCACCAAAG